GATTGGTCAATTGTTTTTTTTTTCTGAATTTTTTTCCCAGAAACCCTAGTCTCACACCAACGTGACTCTTACGTCGATTGATTTGGTCTTCGTTGAGGGTTAAGATAAACTTCAGCATTTCAGTCAATTACCATAAAACGAGTTTCTTATCTCGAGTTCATACATATTAATATGTGGTTGTTTGTTAATTCGGTTTCTGATTTTTTTTTTTTAATTTTTTTTTTTATGAAAGCGTAATCTGTAGAGCTGTTGAAGGAGTCTTCGCCTTAGTGTGAAGGAAACTCGTATTATATTTTAATGCTCCTTTTGTATTTAATATTCAAGGTCATGACTGTTGGGTTCAATATACTGTACGGAACAAAGTTTGCAGCGGAATTTAAAATTTTATAAGTATTTATCTTATAAATACTTATTCCGTACATAAGTATAACGAGATAACAAATAAGCATCATTTTAAATCTAGTAACTTTTACTAATTTTGATTTGATATTTAATTTATAAAAATTATCTTTGTTCTTGAACTCCTTCAAAACCGACGATGTATGAGGAAATCAATTCCCGGTTTGGTAACGATCAGTTCTTGTTGTTACTCACTTTAGGAATCCAAATGTCTTCCCTCTAATCGTATCCACCTTTTGAACTTTGGTTCCGACTCTAGTTTCTTCGCTAGTAGAAACTACTCGGTTTTTCAAAAAGTATAGAATATATATATTTATAAGGAAATTTTTCAAGAACACTTTCTTGTATTATCACTCAACTCTTTGAATAATTTTCTCTTGGAAGAATTTTGCTCAAAACTTAGCAATTAATGTGCAAACATTTTGCACCTATTTATACTAAACATTTTAGCATAAAATAATCAATATTTGATATATTTTATTTTAAATAAAATTAGATTTTATTTAAATAATCATACCAAATATTGACTTTTAATTAATAATGTGTAGTGGTTTATAACCACCATTATTGTTTTAATAAAAATAAGATTAATTATGTGGATTGGTTAACAACTCCAAACCACCATAATTAATTTATTCTTATTAATATTTAATCTTC